ATTCAAGGGATATTGAGACTCTGATACCTACAAAGGAATTTTCCAGCAGACACTAAGACATTGAAGCATCTATAACACACTAAGAAATGGACTGGAAACACTACAAAGGTATATTCTAGCACATATATATAAGCTTTTAGGGACAAAACAAAACAGAATATTATTTGCTGATAATATGTTTGATGAAACGTAAGAATTAACATAACATCAGAATTTTAGAGAAGTGTATTAGCAAAAATAGATTCAAGATGCATGATTTGAGATTAAATGGAAATTTAGACTTCTAACATAGTGGTGTGCAAGTAATTTTGCTGTTTTTGGTGGGTTTCAATTGATTCAAGGAGAGGTAGCCCGTGGAAAGATATATGCCAAAGAGTTGCAGGTGAAGGAAAATTACATTTTTACTCTTTATTTGTTAGGATTTGCAGTATTATTCATTACCAAGTTCGAAGTATTACTCCAAAGGTGTTGGATGATGAAGTGGGTAAAGTTTTTTTTTAGTTTTTTGCAAATTGAGTGCTCCGGCAGTGTATTGCTGAAATGTGTTTGGGTGAAATGGACCAGTCCAGCAGAGGGCTTATGAAACTAAATATTGATTTCTTTCCAAAAACAAAGAAGGTGGTTGAGGCAAGTTGCTTGAGTTTTTGCTGGGCAGTTTTTGACTTATGTAGAAGCTTTTATTGTCATTTTTCTTTTGAAGGATTATCTAAAGTAGATTTTCTATAGCTAGATGCTCCCAATAGTTTCAGAGCATCTATGCAGAGATTTATGGATTTATGGTCAGTTCTCCACGTACAAATCATGAACAGTGATTTCTAAGTAATGTACAAATATTTCACACGATAATTTGACAGTATTTAATAGCAAGTAATCCATAAATGAAAACTAATTTAGAAGAAATCGCAGAGATGTTTTGCCAAAAGTTGTAGTCAACCCTGTAAATTTTTTTTCCCATTTTTATGGTTACCTTAGTTTATAGGAGGATTACAGTATAGGCTTAATGGGGCAGTTGGGAAATAGTTATGTGGCAAAGTTAGAAATAGCTGGGTGGAGTATGTTTCTGAATGCCAAATTTAAGGCTTTATAGATAGGTTTTCTACTGTTTTGGAGGCAGGAACATTTACATTTAAGGTGGTTTGAGGTTGATTGTGGATAGTTTGAGAGGAATAGTAAGAATGTTTTGGGCTAAGGATGTCAATGTCAGGTACTAGTCCACTCTCAGGTATTATTATTTTTTTATTAGGGACGGAACCTCAGTTACCTAGGTTCCCTTATGAAACTAATACTAGAAAGGTCTGCTCCCAAAAGAGGTACAAGGCAGTTAGAGGAGACTCAGTTCTACATATTATTCCAGTTGGCTTTTCCCTGGGTTGGCTGTGCAGTTAGCGTATTTATTCCCCTCTCTTAAGGTGTGCATCAGTCTGATATTGTTGTTCTTCAGGATATACTTGCAATTCTGTATTAGCACTTTGAAGGGATGACATCCCTTTGGATTTCCAGCTAGTAGGTGGAAAACTTCCATAGAATATGTCTCTAAAAAAATTTAGGAAAGTATATCCATAAAAAATTTAGGGTAGTATATCCACAAAAAAGACATAGCTGGCATGAAAACTTCCATAAAAAATTTACAAGGTTGGCTGCTTTCTCCCAATAGTTTCAGAGCATCTATGCATGACATTTTATGGATTTAGGGTCAGTTCTCCACATACAAATCATGAACAATGATTTCAAAGTAAAGTACAAATATTTCACAAGATAATTTGGCAGTATTTAATAGCAAGTAATCCATAAATGGAGACTAATTTAGAAGAAATCGCAGAGATATTTTGCCCATATATTCGACAATTTCAGGGAAATATATATTATATGATCACCATGCATGTATTTTATGCACACATTGGCATTTGTAGAAGGATAAAAAACAAAAAACTTAATCCAACATACATGTGCTTAAGGTTTTGGTTTTAGATCATGGATCCTCCATTCAATCTTCCACAACACAACATTCAACTGAAATTTGCAACTAACTATCTAGGTATGTTGAACATTGTTGCTCACTTGCTTGATGTATATGTTTGCTCTAGAAGTTTGTGGGTGCTAGAAATTTGTCAACAGGAAGTAGTCTATTTCGGTCACTTTTCACTGATTATTGCAAGAGACTAGAGTACTGTTATTACATATGTCCTGAATATTGATAGTTGATAAGGCTTTGTTGAATGCAGTTTTGCTAGAATGTAAAATCATATGCTAGAAGACAAAGGACCTGTAGATATTTTACTCTATAACTACAGCAACAGTTATATACATTCAGTAAATTAATAAAATTATAGCAAATGAATTATATAAGATGAAATTGTTAACTTCAATGATAAGAAGGAGATGATACCAATTAATTCAGGTACAATTTCCCAAAATATCAAAACAGCAATGCAGCCCACAATTAAGGTAAATTCAGGAATACTATTTGGAAGAACTTGAAGGTTTCTTTCTAGCCTTCAACAATTTTAACATGAAACCTGCATTACAAAATAGTATTAATAAAACTGAATTTGAATACCATATAGAATTTAAGAAAAAAAACATCATAAGGTTGGAGAATGCTTTTCTTAGCACCCATTACATACCCTAATGTGGATTGAAAATTGAATAATATTAGGGATTTTTGAATATCACACAGTAATAGGGTTTGGGCAATGAGGATTGAAATTTTGCAGATACACATGGAGATTTCTGAATTCTACATTCATGGGGATTGGGCAATGGGAAAATTTTTTCTGAACTAGGGATTTTTCTGAAGTGCAGCCTCAATGTAGCGTACCTGGTTAAATAAATGCTTCTTGTTCAACACGTGAACCCCCATGTCTACTCCTTGCCTCAGAACCCGTCTTCTCCAAACTTTAGAGCTAGCTCACGGGTATGTACTAGTCTAATGCTTCATTTGACAAAAAACTGAGCTAGCTAGGACTTACAATGGAACCTCAAGTGAATCTTTGAGGCGAATCTTGCAGAACACCTCAGTTGTCTTCTTTGAACAATCTAGGGCTACGATTGAATTTCCTCAGTAGGGTGTGTACATTTTAAGGGCTAATCTTAAGGGATGGCGAAATCAAGCACATTAATATAAGAGAGAGGAGGACTCATTCAAGAGAGAAGAGAGACGAAGGTATGAGCTTCCACAGAGAGAAGAGAGGAGACTGAGGCAAACTCGTGAATAACAAAAAGGGGGAACTGGAGCGAGGTTGTGTATTCAAATGAAAGCGGATTCATTATATTCGCTTATTTGATAAAACGGATATAACAAATCCGCTTTCCAGATGACAGCAGCACAAGGTTTGAATTAAAAACGTATTTCATAAATACACTTTCAAAGATGAATTCATATTTCTTGATTCTGCTTTACCATATAAAATCGTATTTGCCAATTTCGCTTTTATTTAAAATTGGATTTGCCAATTCCGCTTTTAAAACTATTGTAGAATGGTAAATATGTTTAAAACAACCGTATATCGGTATTTATGTTTTAACTTTGCTGTACATGGGTAATAGATTCTTCAAATCTTAGGGGATCATGTGCAAATAGCCCAAAACACAAAAGGAGATAAATTGAATTTTGCCCTTAAATTTAATTCCTACATTCCCCTTCTGGTGATATTTGGGAACGAACAAGTATTAAACTTTTATTTTTAAATGGTTGAAACTTTTAAAATGTTTTCATTTTTAAGGAGACAAAAAGAATTGGTGATGGAATAAAAATTTTAATATTTTAAGGTATTTCATAATATTTCAAAATATTTTAATATATTTGTACAATTATTTCGTAATGTTTGAAGATATTTTGAAAAAATAATTCTTAATTTTTTTTTTATTTTGTTCATTCTATTTTCGAAATAGGTTGAAAATTTTCTATTTCCTAGGTGNAGTGATGGAATAAAAAATTTAATATTTTAAGGTGTTTTATAATATTTCAAAATATTTTAATATATTTGTACAATTATTTCGTAATGTTTGAAGATATTTTGAAAAAATAATTCTTAATTTTTTTTTTATTTTGTTCATTCTATTTTCGAAATAGGTTGAAAATTTTCTATTTCCTAGGTGACTAAAACAATACACTAAAATAAAATTTTGATCATTAAGAATAATATATATATTATTGTTTCATATGTCTACATCAACTTACATGCATCTCGACTAAACCTTTTTTTAATTTGATTAAAGACAAATATTTACGTCAGAACTAAGACTTCAAATAATTATCAAAATTTTAATTTAGAATGTTTGAATTCATAATATATCTCTATTATTAAAAACTACACCTAAAGATTAAANATTTTCTATTTCCTAGGTGACTAAAACAATACACTAAAATAAAATTTTGATCATTAAGAATAATATATATATATTATTGTTTCATATGTCTACATCAACTTACATGCATCTCGACTAAACCGCTTTTTAATTTGATTAAAGGCAAATATTTACGTCAGAACTAAGACTTCAAATAATTATCAAAATTTTAATTCAGAATGTTTGAATTCATAATATATCTCTATTATTAAAAACTACACCTAAAGATTAAATATATCTAATTGTTTGAATCTATACATAGGAAAATGCTATAACACTTAAATTTGGATTCCAAATAGAACCCCAAATGAACGGTGACTATTAAATGTTTAGGTTCCATTAATTTTTTTTAAATAAAACCCATTAATCCAATAATTATTTTTTTTTATCAGAAATAATTATTATTAATTTAGAATATAGCATTTGAGATACTCAAATTTAAATTGGATAGCATTGCTCCTCCACATAAGTNAAATAAAACCCATTAATCCAATAATTATTTTTTTATCAGAAATAATTATTATTAATTTAGTATATAGCATTTGAGATACTCAAATTTAAATTGGATAGCATTGCTCCTCCACATAAGTGTGCACGTCCCAAATAAAATTTAAATCCAAAAAACAGTTCAGCTTGGAGCCTACCACAAAAATTCCCATTTCTGATGCTTTGATTTTCTGTGGGGTTTCAACTGTCAATCGTTTTGTCATCACCTTCGCAAGTCATTACACCTGTAACACTTCTCCCACTTTCTAGATCAATCTTCCTTCTTCTCTCCTCCCAAACAAAATCCACTTCTTCTATAATCTCAATCATGCTCTCTCCTGTTCAACGCATTCTTCATCTCCTCCAATGGCCTCCCCACTTTTCACTACTTCCTACTCTTCTTACAAAAGTCCACATTACATTCATTGTTCTTGTCTCTCCAGCCACCCATTCGGGCAAAAGACTCGCCTCTCATTCCCTCTCTCCTCCAAACCCAACTCCAAAAGACTCATCAAGTTTTCTGTCAAAGCTGAGCAAGAAAATGAACCCTTATCTTCCCCTTCTGTTGCTGTAATTTCAGAGAAACCCCAAAACGAGGACACCCAGAAGAAAGATTTGTCTGTAGAAGGTGAATTGAGTACTGATTCAGAGTCCCAGGATAAAGAGCAACTGCAAGAACTGGATTGGAAAACAGATGAGGAGTTCAAGAAATTCATGGGGAATCCTTCGATTGAGGCAGCAATAAAGCTTGAAAAGAAGAGGGCTGATAGGAAGCTCAAAGAGCTTGATAGAGAAAGAAGTGATAACCCAATTGTGGGGTTCTTTAATTGGGTGGTTCGTGACAATTTGTCTAGAGAGAAAGAGAGATTGGAGAAAGCAGAGGAGACTTTCAAGGCTCTTGATCTTAACAAGGTGGTTACTTTTCCCAAATTGTGATATATAAATCCATTTAAATACTTTCAAATTTTATGTAGGAACATGTATAATTTGTTGTGTTTTTTAATTGGCAGTTAAAGAGCTGTTTTGGGTTTGATACATTTTTTGCGACCGATGTCAGGAGATTTGGAGATGGGGGAATTTTTATTGGGAATTTGAGGAAACCCATTGAAGAGGCAATACCCAAATTGGAGAACAAGCTATCAGAATCAGCAGGAAGGGAGGTGGTAGTGTGGTTGATGGAGGAAAAAAATAATGACATTACAAAACAGGTACTTGAAAACGAGCCTAGATTTACTTATGTTTTAATTCTTATACACTGGTGATGAGTTTGAGATGTAGTGTGATTGCATATGTAAATTATTGATATTTGATATTGTGTCACCTTGGTATTGTTTGGCCCGTTTGAACATTTTGATTTCCTACTCAAATACTGGCATGTAATCAATCCAAATAATCGAGTCAGAGAAGCCATAGCCTAGCAGCCATATCAGTTTTTAGCACTTTTGGACCACATTCACAATTCTGAGAGGTTGACAGTTGACACCATGTTCCTGTTGGTAGAATGTAGATAGTAGGCATTAAATCCAAGTGCTTGTTGGTTAAGACCCACTCACTCTGAATTCGGGAATAATGATGTACAAACAATCACTGGGAAGATGTAGTGGCTCAAGTTCATTCTCGGTAATGTGACATTCTTGGGACTCCAATCTCTTGCTATGAGCTGAAGAAGGATTAACTTGCTTTACTGTTTGGGTTGCGAGTTTTTTTCTTTTTGTTAATTCTATTGTTAACAATGGCTGGTTTTTAGGTTTGTATGGTGCAACCAAAAGCAGAGATGGATCTCCAGTTCGAGTTAACCAAGCTAAGCACTCCTTGGGGCTATACTAGTGCAGTCTTGTTATGTATTACAACATTTGGGACGATTGCTTTGATGAGTGGCTTCTTCCTCAAGCCTGATGCCACATTTGATGACTACATAGCTGATGTTGTGCCTCTCTTTGGCGGCTTCCTAACCATTTTGGGAGTTTCTGAGGTAGGTTGAACTGTGCCTGTCCATCAAAGTGGTTTATTTATATCTCTTTGATGTCTCGTTTGAGAACTTCAGGATATTAGCTAATAACTAGTATTTTTCCTGTTTTCTTATATGATTACTCCTGTAGTTTAGAGGCAGTACAAGCTAAGCTTGGTAATACTGGAGATATTTTTAACCTTGCTGTTATTCAGTGTGTCAAGAAACAACCACGTGCTTGGTTTAAAATGTAAATATGGACTAGTCTTAAATGCCATGCCTAATTTATACAAATCTTACCTTGCACTTATAGTCTATGTGATAGTGTAACAAAGGAGAAATCTTAGATGCCATGCCTAATTTAGATCCACATGCAGGATATATTTCAATATTGTTTGGCTATGGAAATCTAACCAGCATATTCCCCTAATCACAACAATTCACCTCCTAGCGATTGATCAAATTGAAGCATGAAGTAGGGTGCATCTGCGTTACAACATATGTCATAATAACAAGAACAGCATGTTTGTTATGGAAGTAGCTTTCTTGACATTGGCAATGATGCAAACTCACTGTTGAGCATCACTCTTCTTTTTAGATGCAGGCAGGCAATCAAGTTCATTTTTAACTGATTTATTCGTGACTGTTTTGACATTTCTGCGTAAGAGAAAAGCTAATGAGCAGGAGGTAATTGTACAAACCATGTTAACCTTCACGAGTCTGTTATATGCTTATATCGCTTACAATTTCTGCCCGCACAAAATCAAGCTGTTAGCCATCCTCAAGCAAATAGTACATCCTGTTAGCCACTCTTTGGTTTTGAAATTTCATCTGGTACACATGAGATAATTGTTGGAGGTTGTTCCTTCGCAAATTTTGGGCTTTGGGGTCATTGGCCATGTCTTGGCAGGAGTAGTTGATTTTTAGGCTTTTTCATTGATTCTGTGAAGGCTTTCATGCTTACCTCCCTTTCAGCCTGCTATCTTTACATGATGACTGTCTTGGCCTACACTAGTCAATATGGGAAATAGTATTTGGTAATTGATACCCATGTCCTGTTTTGTAGTGCGTATTCCTATTATGTCCCATGTCGCCACAACTGTGATCAGAATTGCATCCATGATCATGGGTTGCTAGCTGTTGATATAAATCAGAAATATGTAAAGTTGATTTTAAGTCTCAAGAAGTGTATTTTATATGGTGTTTNTGTCAATATGGGAAATAGTATTTGGTAATTGATACCCATGTCCTGTTTTGTAGTGCGTATTGCTATTATGTCCCATGTCGCCACAACTGTGATCAGAATTGCATCCATGATCATGGGTTGCCAGCTGTTGATATATATCAGAAATATGTAAAGTTGATTTTAAGTCTCAAGAAGTGTATTTTATATGGTGTTTGAAGGTACCCTCAAAAAGGGGAAGCCGAGGGTGGAGGATAAGCAATATATGGTTTTCTACACACTGTTTGAATTTCAGATGTAAAAATGTATCTCATGTAAGACATGGTTATGTTCTAATAATGTGAAGATATCTTGCAACTGAGGACTTCTCAAAAATCTGTACANGGTGGAGGATAAGCAATATATGGTTTTCTACACACTGTTTGAATTTCAGATGTAAAAATGTATCTCATGCAAGACATGGTTATGTTCTAATAATGTGAAGATATCTTGCAACTGAGGACTTCTCAAAAATCTGTACAGTTACATCATGGTCCTTTCAAGCAAATGTTTGCATCTTTCTGGTGTTGAAACCTTGAAGTTTGACACTTCCATGTGCTAAACATTTGTTATTCTTCATATGCATTGCAGATAGCGACAAGGGTAACAGCATCTCGTTATGGTGTTAAGCTCAGTCCATCCTTTCTTGTTCCCTCCAATTGGACTGGGTGCTTGGGAGTGATGAATAACTATGAGTCTCTGCTGCCAAATAAGAAGGCTCTTTTTGACATTCCTGTTGCCCGTACAGCAAGTGCGTATTTGACATCACTAGTACTTGCAGTTGCTGCTTTTGTTGCTGATGGCAGCTTCAATGGGGGTGACAATGCATTGTAAGTTTTCCTTAATTCACTTTCAGATCACATCCCATCTAAGATGCATGACAAAATTGTTCCTCCTCATTTTCAATGAGGTTTCGGTGATTTTTATTGCCTCTGGCAAATCGGTAAGTTNACTTTCAGATCACATCCCATCTAAGATGCATGACAATATTGTTCATCCTCATTTTCAATGAGGTTTCGGTGATTTTTATTGCCTCTGGCAAATCGGTAAGTTATGCAGGATCAGACAGGAGATAAAGCTATCAAAATTATATGTCTGGTGTTATGTGCATTTGCATGTTTATACTTTGGTGAGTTTTGCTTAAGAAAGAAAGTAGTGTAATGTCTGGGTTTTATGCTGTTTAATTTTTTTTTTTTGAACAGCGTTGTTTAGCTATTTGCATTTATCTTTTACTTTTCAGGTATATAAGGCCTCAATTCTTTTACAATAATCCTCTACTGTCTTTTGTCCAATTTGTTATCGGGCCATACACGGATGATCTTGGGAATGTGTTGCCATATGCGGTTGAAGGCGTGGGAGTACCTGTTGATCCCCTTGCTTTTGCTGGACTGTTAGGTGATTCTTTTGGGCTATTTGTTTAAGTAGCTTAGATTATCTAGTTTGCCGGATTATGCAAATAATAATGGGTACTGAATTCATGAAATGTTAATCTTTTACTGTATGGTTGTTAGAAAGAAAAAAATGTTGAGTTTCAAATACTGGTTCACACTCAACAGCATGTCATTATAATATGATGGTTCATGATGGTTGGAAAAGTTGACACATTTTCCGCCCTTTTAATCTGCCAGGATCCTAACTGAACTGCTTAAGCAGTTAACAGCCGAATATGTTCCAACTTTCAGTTTTCCATATGATAAGTATGTTCAGAGGATATTCTCCTGATGAAATTTCCATCTTATTGGTGGAGTCTTTCTTTTTCCCGCATACCATTTAGCTCTCTCTGTCTGGACGTCGTTGCCACAATATCAGTCAACACTGGCCCAGAATTTCTATAATTTCCACATGCTAATGTGTGATCCATCCTCGTTACTTATTCATGCGGAAGATCTTGATTCTTGACTGACTCTGTCTGCTGCAGGAATGGTGGTGACTTCTTTGAACTTGCTGCCATGTGGTAGACTTGAAGGAGGCCGCATTGCACAAGCTATGTTCGGTAGGAGCACTGCTACTTTGTTATCGTTTGCCACTTCACTACTCCTAGGCATTGGTGGTTTGAGTGGAAGCGTTCTCTGTTTGGCATGGGGACTTTTTGCAACCTTCTTTCGAGGTGGAGAAGAAGTACCTGCAAAAGATGAGATCACCCCATTGGGAGATGACAGGTATGCTTGGGGTATTGTGCTCTTCCTCATATGTTTCCTTACTCTATTTCCAAATGGAGGAGGAACATTCTCCAGCCCTTTTTTCAGTGACCCATATTTCAGGGGCGATTTGTAAATAGAGTTGAGGCATTGCTCTATGTATAATCTCTTCTATGCTTCAGTGAATTGATGGCTGTAATTTTTAGTTCTAATCAATACAAGAAAATGAAAAGAAAAGTTATAGAAAAGGAGAATAGTAGAGTTCCATTTGCAAGTTTCTGTACGGAAATGTAGGCTTTTGTTGGATCATAGTTTCAGCTGATTCTATAGGCAAGTGGGGGAGTTCTTACCTTGTTTCGGTGAAGACGCAATCTGACACGTTTGTCTGTCTGATCAAAAGGAGATTATCATGGTTTTAAATATTCTCTCTGGATTCAGTTGCACTTATTTCTGCACTTTCAGATCGACCTGAACTCTTTTGAGACGTACCCTTTATTCTTTTAAGTACTTTCTTTATTGTTATTGTTTAATTAACGTTGAGAAGTTTGTTCTTCAATTATGAGATCTTTAGATTCGTAAGATCATAATAGTGTTCTTTCACTTTCGATTTATTAGATTAGTAAAGTGCTCGTGTCTTACAACTACTAGAGTTTAAAGCTTACCTCATTACTAAAGAAAGAGAGACAGTAGTGATTTACTAATAGAGCAATGCTATTTGGACTTAATTTGTTGATTTAATTTACTGTGACTTTTGAATTAACTGTGGGGCCCATTAAATATTGAAACTTGATGTTGATCTAATGATTTCAATGAAATCATATCATTAAGTTAGTAAATTAGGTTAATTTTTTAAGTCCAAATAATATTAGTGTTACTAATAAAAAGGTTAGGGGGACTGAGAAGCTGTTGTTTGCTGTTTTCTGTTTACTCTGCCAGTCTTGACTGTGCCATTCTATAACTTTCCTTCTTTCATCCAGCTAGGGGTGTTCACCTTATCATACGGGTAGTAAATATAATTTTTTGTCTTCCTATCCGACATTTTGTGGAAGAATTTTTTTTTGGCCTACCCTAATCGATCAGGTGTGGTATTTCTACCCGATTTCCTATCCAATTAATCGGGTAGGAAGTCGGGTAAACATTTTTGTATCTATTAATTTTTAGATCATTTTAACAATTTAATTAAATAAAATACACCAATTTAACAACACAATAAATCAATAACACTAAAACCTAAAACAACTACAACAACAATTACAATAAAACATAAGAAAGCATGAACATCTATCTATCATAATTGTTACACAAATATAATAACAGTTATTTTAAATTTAAACCATATGAAACACATTAAAATCATAACTGCTCTAATAGATCACCGGTTCACTATAAATCATGTAATCTACACAAAAAATATGTTCATGTTTTCGCAATTCAAACATTCACAACAATAACAATGTTATAATAAATTATACCACACAAATACTCTTATAATTATTAAAAAATATATAAAAAAAATAAATATATTTTTTACAGGTAGAGTAGAGTAGAAATGCAGAAATTGATGGTTATTCCGCATTCTTACCCGATTTAATCGAAAGACCAAAAACTCTTATGTATTTCTACCCAATATTTGTGACTAGCCGCTCAATAGGGTAGGATAGAGTTGGATAAGATAGGAAATTGACATCAATCAGAAATTTGAACACACCTTACATCCAGCCACATGTATTTGTTTTTTTTGACTACGTCACTTTTTGTTTAGAAAAGTCTTCAAAGAATGATACCAAATAAGAGAGTCACTACACGTCTTAAGTTTTAATTTTAATAATTATTTGGGATCAGGTCATGAAGAATTTATTTTTTATGAATATTCTAGTTTCGACTTGGATGATATGTATTTGACTGAATTAAAAAAAGAATTAATCGAGATATACATTGACTTACTTAGCCATTTTTTACCATTGAACCAAAAAATATATAAGTAAGAGAGCCACAACAGTCTTTATTAGATTTCTGACTTCGCCTCTTCAAGGACCTATCCCTAAGAGAGCCACCACATGAGCCCCCCTCATACTGTGTGCCATACAACCACCTTCCAAGTGCATCTGTAGAGATGACAATGATGGTTTGGTCCATGGAAGAAATTGGTGAAGTTGTAACATAATATTTGATGAGACATTTTCAGACACTTCAAGATGATGACACGTGTCTTCGGCGACAATAGATACTCACCGATCAGATCACGACACATGCGTGTTGGTCCATAATGCCCCCAAGGTACTATTCACAGGGATCAAGGATCCCTAGTAAGGCATAGACCAATACGTATCCCTCGATTAGTTTGGGTACATCGACCCCTAGCGACGCTGGACCCTTGGTACCGAGGTATACCTGTCTACACAGCATTTCTGCTCCTGCGGAGGCTACTGATTGACGGGTTACTAGCCTAAGTTAGGCTAGACTAGCTATCATAACATCGTTCCACTCAAATGGTGTCAGGAGGCACAAGAAGGCAGAAGATTCAACCAAATGAGAATGGACATGTGGCGTATTGTGTCAGATCAGAGGCAAAAAGACCTGAATGCCCTTGCTGACACACGGCTTGGGAGGTCAGGCACTTAATGCATTCTTCACTCGATGAGACAACATTTAATACATAAGATCCTGGAAGTGAAAGACAATAAATGTTCCTAATACCAAGGCATTTAATACATCCCTGTCGAGAGAAGGTCATTAAACGCTCGACAAATCGAGGAGAAGGCATTAGTTATACGAGGTCTCGAGCAGTTAAGAAGGAGAATATTTCTCATAGAAATTGGTGTACACACTACCCACCTCTAATGATTACCTACTGGCCACGCTGTCAGCAATGATGAGGAGCTTTGTTAGGTATAAATAGTCCTCACAAACACATGAAAAAGGTACGCAATAAACCCTCTCTCAACCATCATACAATATTTTCTTTTTCTCCTCTCTGAAAGAACTGACTTGATCGTCGGAGGGGATACGACGAAAAACACTCCGGCGCCCTTCTAACCTGTTTTTCTTTATTCCAGGAACATCGTTTAGCCTTCCAGGATCACTCAAGCGACTCCTAAAAATAATTCGTCATCACTTCATTGGCCACTTTTGGCCCTTACAACCTGTTTCAGGTAACAAGATCGACCACTTGATTAACGGACTCATGTTCACCATGGAAGATATCTGTTCTTGTGTTTATATTGTGCAGGATCGTGCACGCACAATATTAATATCTCGATATTCCTGGTTGGAGTCTAGTAAGAGATTCCTCGGTTGATTTGACATGTAATTTGTGGGTAATTACTCATATCTGAAGTTTATGTATTTATGAAGAGTTTTGAAAAAATACGTAATTGGAAGTAATTTTTGGGGAAAGTTCTTCGTTTTTGATTTTTGTGTAGCTAGATCCTCCGGAACTACATAATTCATAATGAAATTCAAATTCAACACCTTTGAGTGAGATTTTGAGAAGAGTTACCATTTAAAGGAGCACAATGCAATGAAAATTATAAGTTGTGTTCGGGGTGAGTTATTGCATACGGTTGACCTCAATGGTAGATTTAATTAGGGCTCACAATCGTGTTGGGTCGAATTTATATCACGTCATTTCAGGTTCGTGTGTGGAGTACTACTCAATCCTAATTCAATTTAATTAACTAATCGTGTTATGTCGTGTCGGTTTATTTATTTTCGCGTCGTGTTCATATTGACCCATATAACCTGTGAATAAAAAAATTAATGCTCAGTTTTATGTTTAAATTTTATTATCACCTAATCAAACCTATGCTTATATTTTTTCTATAAACTAAAAATTAACTTAATAAATATAATAATAAAAATATTTTTTTTTAACAAGAATTAGATCACTACTTGATAAAATATAATTAAAAAATAATATTTTATTCTTATAATATTATTTAAACGTGTTAATCGTGTCAATTTCATATTATTCGTGTTTAACACCAACTCAATCCATTTATTATTTATATTAATAAATCATGTCGTATACAAGTTTGTATCGAGAAATAATTAATCTTAACCCGTCAATTTTGAGTTTCGCCTTNGAATCATGTCGTATACAAGTTTGTGTCGAGAAATAATTAATCTTAAGCTGTCAATTTTGAGTTTCGCCTTCTGTCATAAATTGTAACCCTTAGATTCAATTGTAGCATTTAAGAGGTGGTGGTTTACCTTCGCTGGTGTTGTCAGCAAAAAAAAAGTTGCATAAAAAAGCTTCTTAATGTGACCTTTTACATTGTCAAGTGGTCATGTTTATTTATACACAACTCTTACTTTTCCCTTTCAAACCCACCCCCACCTCACCATCACTAATAAATTTCCAAAAGAAAAGTCAAGTCTCTGTACTTTTCATTCCTCCAAGTTGCCTATGTTCTTCGTTTACTCATTCAAAAGGAAGAGATGATCCACTGCTAGAATCCCATACAATTTTCATGATCCTATCCTCTTGTCATGCTTCTAATCTTCTCATTCATGACATGGACCTCTGTGCTCTAAGTATGGTAACCAACCATCCTAGCATGTTGTCAGCTGGATTATTTTTTCCTAACTCAAGAAATTATCTGAATCTCGGACTCCGCTTAATCTTCCTAAATATATACAATCCAAAATTAATATTAGGACAAATTCATTATCGATTAGGTTTGGCCAGTAACTAGGTAGTTTTTTTAATCCATTGAAATTAAACTCATACTTAATAGTTTTATATCGATTTCGTAATGAATTGGCTAGTTATACGAAGAATTATCAATCCTAATATCGGTAACAAGGAATTAGACTCTCACCTTCTCCCACTCAATCTCTTATTAAAAATTGTTGGCAATATGACCCGAAAGATAAAGTGAACTACATGGTGAGATTTGGACTGGATTGCTACTCTCTTAAGACGATTTGCGTCCCTTTATAGAAGAAACAAAATACAAAAAGTAGCAGTGCGTTGTCTCAAAAATACAATAATTAAATATATAAATATGTATACTGTGAAAATATGACTATAGATATTCCGTAATTACTTTCGTATTTAATCAAATAATAATTATTAGAATTAAATAAAAAAAATGAGCGTTGGAAATGAAAATCTCAAAGTCTCATTTAACTTAATGGTTAAATAACACTAGCATATATTATATACTCAAATACTTTTAAAAATTTAGTCACTATGAGATTCAGTTTTTCACATAAAAGTATTCTTTTGTTAAAATACTAACAAAAATGGTAAAAACAAGGCTATCACAATCCTAAAAGGAAAAAAATGAAAAACAAAATAGTAAGTGTTTCTTTGCTCCTTCTAGACGTTTTTGGCTCCCTTCCATTGTTTTTACTTCCAATAGTTTTCTGCTTCCAACATTTTTTTTTAGATTATCCACTATGAATTGAAGTCGAACACGCTTTTATGACAGGGTATCTCCTACCAAGAAACGATGAGTAATTTATCATGCAATAAAATTGAAAAAGTGATTTGAATTCGGTGATTTGAATTCGGTGATTTGCCATGCAGTAAAATAGAAGA